CGAAAAATAAAATCTGCTGAAGTTTTGCATTACGCGCACCTTACTTAGACATGCTTATATTTCTTGGAATTGTACATATGAAAGTAAGGATTCGAGACAGCAGTACAAATGTATGACCAACCTCATTAGCACCCACATATGAAGTGCTTCCTTAGAAACTTCTAGCAATATAATTGTTTTAAAGTTTAATCGAGTAATAGTGACTATTTGTCATTTTACAAGGAAGTTTTAACTCCAGTAGATAGTGACTTTATAATAATGAAGAACGACGCCTTCATTATTGTACGCCTATTTTTTACAATGAACTTGAGATAGTGTAATTCTAACAAAATATTAAGCAAGTATCGATGAATTCATGTAGATATTTCAATCATACTATCTATTCTCTAGATTGCTGTGTATATAAACAGTCCCACTTTGTCTAGAGATGCGTCACCTCAACTCGGGAAAGGCACATTTATCTGTGAAAGTTGGAGTAGAATCAAGCTGACTTGCGAGGAAATCTTCTCAGATGTCATCCGCCAATTCCAACAATTTGTTGCTGTTAGATACTGAATAATATTCTAATGAAAATCGTAAAATGATTTCATTGACTATTGAGACTTGGGAGAGCTTTTTAATTTTTCAAGTATGTTCTTGCTAGAAAAGCCTTATTCACAGCACCTTATAAGAAACGATTCAAAATTTGTAGACTTCGTATTGCCGCGATAGTGAGTTTTAAAATCCTCTTGTGTTATTCATTACGCTTCGGAAAGCATCTATTTTAGAGCAGTTCGTATCTCGGAGATACGATAATGTAAAAATTCGTAAATATTTCATCCAAGCTATTCTATTGAGACCTTCATATAGAAATAGTTTGAAGACAAAATTCAAAAGCAGTGTTCTTTTCAGAAAACGTGAGATTTTACAGGAGTGTCTCTATCAAATAGAAATATTAAAAACTCAATAGGTCCGTCACGATTCAATAACAACAGGAATTCTTTTAGAGTTTACACTAGAATGCCATCTAGTATCTATAAACACAAAGTCATTGAAATCGAGAGAGGAATTTTTAAGAGGTTCGCTCATTAAATTGCTGTCGTATCAGAATTTGATATTTGATGGATAGAGCTAGCGTGAAGATGACGATGACTTACATCACAGATGGAGTAGAGTTTAAGATAATAGATTTTTATCAATCACAATAAATTTTTGTTGACTTGATAACTCGTCGAGAGAAAACAACCTCTGACAGGACAAATACCGATTTTCGAAATAAATGTAAATGAATTCGACTTTAAAAAATAAAATCAAGTAGAGTATGATTTTGTTCAACCACAGTTACAAAATGATTTTCAAAAAAACATAAAGTCGGAGTTGGATCGTCGTTAAAACTCTATTGATCAAGTCGAATTTCAGAAATAGGAGTCGAGTTAGAGTGGCACTCAATGAAATTTGCCGATCTTTCACTGCTTCTTTCTTTGTGTTTTTAGAGCATTCCTTATACGGATACCAAAGCTACTAATCAACTCAGTGCTAAACTATTTGAGTAAGCCATTGTGATATTTTACATCAAATAATTCAATCTGATTCTATTCTTGTACAGCAACATTTCAAAGATCGAGAAAGGCATTGGTTTTGAATTCTTATTTGTGATCGAAATGTTTTTGTGTATGATTGGTAGCGTCATAACATGCTTCATTGTCAATTGGAAATTGACTTTGGTCATGCTATGTTTGATACCTTTGGTCATTAGTGGTTCATTAGTGTTTTCTAAGGTATGAGATGTTGTTTAATCGGTTGAATCTGTATGAGTTGTCATAGGCAATGGCTAATGAAGTAATCAATGACTTAATAACCTACTCCAGAGCTAGACAAATTGTTCAAGAAGTGTTCAGTTCAGTGCGAACTGTTTTGTCTCTCAATGGTAGTAAATTTGAGCAAAAACGGTAAATGCGTATATAATAACAGTCATCCAATATATTATGATAAGGTATGTTTGCTATTTTCATTGCATTTAGATATGAAAAAGAGCTGGATACAACTCGTTGGAATAGTATACGCCAAGGTGCACTGTTTGGGATCTTTACTGGATGGCTTTTTCTATCAAGCTCATTAGCATATTCAGTTGGTTTCATATTCGGTTCTCTTCTTATTTCTCCCAAATTTTCTCATAGCCTGAACATCAGTGATATTCTTGTCGTGAGTAATTCTTATAATCAGTCAATAAGGAAATGAAACTTCGTCGACTGTCTTGATACAGGTCGTCTTCATCTTTGCGGAGTCTTTGAGCTTCTTCACTTATGTTAGTCCTTTCCTTCAATCATTTTCAGAAGCTCGAGGTGCAGCAGCAGCGGTGTTTCGACTTATTGACGAGGTGAGTCTGAGTGAATTGAAGTCTCATATCAATAGGAATGATTTAGGTTTTTTTACATAATACAGGGAAAGGACACAAGTATCAACGAAATAGATGTATGGCAAGATGATACAGAATCAAATTATAATGTTCACGGTGATATTCAATTTGACAATGTCAGTTTTATTTATCCATCTCGAAACGATGCACTAGTTTTGCATAATCTCTCTCTTACTGCTCGTGCTGGCCAGATAACTGCTCTTGTAGGTTCAAGTGGTAGTGGTAAGTCTTTAACAAAACAAAAATATTAAAGTGATTGTATTTGGGGTATTTGTAAAACACGCGAGTACCCACGAACACCTCCAAATCGAGAGCTGGTATTTTCAGTAGATGGAGATCGTCGAGCTGATTCTATGAGCACTCAAAATCATTGAACATTAGAAAAATTTTCCAATGAACACTTTTTTTTCAGTTCACGAACATCTATATCTTTTGACAGTGAGTAGTAGCCCTACTCGAGTTAGGCACATGCCCAAAACTTCAGCCTTTTATATGCTGACATAAGAAAAATAGCAGGGACTTACTTTTTTAATTTTAAGCCTGGTAACCAAATCCGGAATATGCGGAAATTTAGTTATAAGGCTTAAAATTGAAAACGTAAGTCCCTGTTATTTTTCTTATGCCAGAATATAAAAGGCTGAAATTTTGGGCATGTGACTAACTCGAGTAGGACTACTACTCACTGTCAAAAGATATGGATGTTCATGGTTTGAAAAAATGTGTTCATTGGAAAATTTTTCTAGTGTTGAACGATTTTGAGTGTTCATAGAATCAGCTCGACGATCTCCATCTAATGATAATATCAGCTCCAGATTTGAAGGTGTTCGTGGGTGCTAGCGTGTTATATAAATACCCTTGCATTTGTATCCCTAATTTATGCATAGGAAAAAGTACATGTATATCCTTGCTCCTTCGTTACTATGAACCTTTATCAGGTCAAATAACAATCGATGATCGGCCGATAAAAGACTACAATGTCAAAGAACTTCGACAGAATATTGGAGTTGTTAGTCAGGAACCCGTACGTTTCATTTTCCAGTTTTTCTTTTCTTCGTTTTTTATTTGACCTACCATTGTAATAGATTCTGTTTGGCGTGAGTATTTATGAAAATATTCGTTTTGGTAAAGTGGATGCAACACGAGCAGAAATTGAACAAGCAGCGCGAGAAGCAAATGCACATCATTTCATCATGCAATTGCCAAATGTTTGTGCTAAATATACACCTTTATCTACGCATAAGTATTATTATTTCTTGTTCAGAAATATGAAACACTTGTTGGTGAACGGGGTATACAATTGAGTGGAGGTGAAAAGCAGCGTATTGCATTAGCTCGTGCTCTTGTCAAACAGCCTACATTCCTTTTACTCGATGAAGCCACAAGCGCACTTGATAATGTAAGCGAAAAGATTGTTCAAGAAGCGCTCGATCGAGCATGCAAAGGTAACAATTGTTTTATATTCTTATGATATTCTTATAAAATGCCGTGTAGGTCGTACAACTTTTGTTATTGCTCATCGTTTAACTACAATTCAAAATGCTCATCAAATATATGTATTAGATAATGGAAGTGTGATTGAGCAAGGTACACACGAAACATTAATGGCCAAAGACGGAGGGAAATACAAAGCAATGGTCAAGCGTCAACAAACGGAAAACATCAATGATGATAAAGATGATATGATGACCATACAAAAAGCAATGAAAGAAGATGAAAAATCGATATGTATGTTAATATGCTAATAGTGATAGTCTTTACTGTTGTTTCTCTCTTTTCTGAACAGTTGAACGCTCCCGTACAGTTAGTGATAGCCAAACTGTTGATGTAAAAAAAGTAAAAATAAAACTGCAATTATTCATGAAAATCATCATTGACAATCTCTTTTTTAGCAAACCTCAAAGTCATTCAGACAAAGATTTGTCTTTTTGAGACTCTTGTCAATGAATAGTTCTGAATGGATCACTATCTTGATTGGTTGTATAGCATGTGTACTTTTTGGCGCAGCTGAACCATTGTTGGCATTTGTACTTACCAAAATAATTGGAGTGAGTATCCAGTGAAAAATTTTCGCGATTTTCAATCGGATTTTTGTGCAACAAAATCAAAATTAAAATCGATTGATAATTTTGATTATTGTTGATCACGACTTAACTATCATTTGATATTGTTGCTTATCCAGTGTAAAATTTTCTGATTAAGATCAGATTATTTTGCAGCACAACCGAAATTATTAATCGATTTATAATCTTGATTTTGCTACAGAATAATCCGTTTTTTGATCGGAAAATTTTACACTGGATAAGCAACAATATCAAATAATAGTTAAGTCATGATCAACAATAATGAAAATTATCAATCGATTTTAATTTTGATTTTGTTGCACAAAAATTCGATTGAAAATCGCGAAAATTTTTCACTGGGTAGTCAATTCATATAAATATCGTACAGAAAGATTGATAATATACATCATTTTATGTCAATTTGCTCATTATGTAGGCATTCAAACATTGTCGAATCTCAGAACAACGTAGTCATGTATTGATTGGCAGTTTTACATTTTTACTTTTGAGTGTTCTTGTATTGATTTTTCGTTTATTTCAAGTAAAAATGCCATTTTTGAATATCATCAATGATTCTTTCACTTTTTTCTACAGTATACAGCTTTTGCCATAGCAGGATCTAAATTGACGCAACGTATTCGTTCGAAAGCTTTTGGATGTCTTCTTCGTCAAGAAGTTGCTTATTTTGATCGACTTGAAAATAATTCTGGTGCGATTTGTACTCGGCTTTCTTCCGATGCACTAGCCGTCCAAGATCTGGTTGGTACACGACTGGGAGCCATTTGTGAATGTATCGCACTGTCACTTTCTGGAATTCTATTTGGATGTCTCATTAGTTGGCAATTAACATTGATCGTTTTCGGTACTATGCTTATCATATGCGCGATCATCTATGGAGATACGTCCCTAAATATATGGCTGAATCAACAATCTGATCAAATCGTTGGACTAGCAAGCACAGTAAGTTAAACTTTTACCTTATCATCGCTTTCTTATCGGGAATATTAACTTATCATGAATTATTTGATATCAAATATACTATATTTAATATTTCTTTTACTTCTACAGCTTGCTGTTGAAGTCATTCACAATATGCGTACAATAAAACAGTTATCGATAGAAAAGGAAGTTTTACGACAATATTTTGAACGTATTCATCAATTATTAATGTGAGTCTATGGAATCTTATACGTGTATAAATTTTTAATCAATCTTATTTTGTCATAGAATTTCTCGTAAACCTTTGATACTATCGGCAGTGGCATATGGTTTGTTCTGGGCACTAGACTTATACGCTATGGCATTTGTGTATTGGCGTGGTCTCATCCTTATTGAAGAAAACAAACTCACGTCGGATCATATTATAATGTAATTGATACCAGAGTTTGGTAATCTAAAGACAATGTTTCGTTTTCTCTTCACTTTTCAAGGACCTTTGCTTTTGCTGTTTTTTCAATGCGAGCATGCAGACACATCGGAATGATGTAATACTCTTACTCTGTAGTTTACTTGCTTTCTTCTTTCGGTTTCTATTCTAGATCTCCCCGTCTCGCTGCATCATTGTCAGCTGCTAAAACGTTTTTTGATTTATTTGATCGAAATCCAACTATCGACAATGCATCTACTGAAGGACGACCATTGGTAAGAGAACATAGAAGATGACTATCCTGTTGCAATCACACACATGTCATGAATATAATATGATTTTTGTAGTTGGATTTTCGTGGAGAAATAAAATTTGATCAAGTGAAATTTATCTATCCCACTCGGCCAACATCTGTTATTCTTAACAAATTTCAATTGAATATCAAGCCAAGTAAGTGCGATATTTTTCGATTCAATCATTTTTTTAAAACTTTTACTCACTGATAAGGTCAACGAGTGGCTCTTGTTGGTATGTCCGAATTAATTATTTCTTTTAAATATTAGTTACGCAACATGATCCGTACAGGCACATCCGGATGTGGAAAGTCAACACTTATTCAACTTTTGGAACGATTCTATGATGTGACAAGTGGCCAACTAGTTAGTATTTCTTTAACGTATTGTTTAAGTAATTATAGAAAATGTTGTTCACGCAATCTAGCTTCTTGATGGCACTGATATTCGACAATTCAATCTTCATTCTGTTCGTTCTCAATTCGGTCTTGTTAGTCAAGAACCAATTTTGTTCGATTTAACGATTGCTGAAAACATCGCATATGGTTTAGAAAATGTTCCAATGGAAGATATCATCAATGCAGCAAGAAAAGCTAATATTCATCAGTTTATTGAACAATTACCTCAGGTTAGGAGATGAAACAAAATTATATAATGTATCTTTGACTATTGTGTGACTTTTTTAGGGTTATGACACAAAGGTAGGAATGAAAGGTAGCTTTTTGTCAGGTGGTGAGAAGCAACGTATTGCTATTGCTCGAGTTCTTCTTCGTCAACCTAAAGTGTTGCTCTTAGACGAAGCTACAAGTGCCATGGATTCGTATAATGAACAAGTCAGTTTTTTTCTATTTTTCAATTGAAATTGCATCTTCACTTTTTTATTATAGATTGTACAACAAGCTCTTGAACAAGCTCAAACAGAAGATCTTACTCGAACATCACTTATTATTGCTCATCGTCTTTCAACTATTCGTTCATGTGATTTGATTTGTGTACTTGATAAGGGACATATAATCGAGAGTGGTACTCATACAGAATTGACACAACAACGTGGAGCTTATCATACAATGCTTGCTCAAAACAATCTGCAATGACCGTCAGTGAACTATTTTGAAAATCAAAACATATTTTGTCAAACATGCAGAGAAAACTCGCCTAAAACATTTGACGCATGATTCACTTATATTACTCATTTTACTGTACTACTGTTATTATTAACAAGAAGTTGAGTTCTTAATCGAACTACAGAGTATTACTTCAATACTTTTTAATCTATTAGTTGTACCTGATAATAGTGCAGGAAATGATGATCTCAACAACTACTTACAATTTAACTAACTTATACATAAAATAATTATACATGAAATAATTAAACATAAAAAATCCCTTTATACTTTCCATTGTGGTCCTAGTTGTCTAAAAATCGTCCATTCTATCGCAATTCATTAGGTCGATTAATTATGAGACGATATCGCGATGAAATCGTCCAAAAACAGTTTCTACCAATTTCTTTTCGATTTTTATTGAAACTCGCTATTTCTTGATGACTTTTAATGACTCTTAATTTACACTCTATTCAAACGGCCTTCGATAGAGCTATTGGCTAAGAGCTATCACCAGTTCGATATACAGTGAAACTTCTATTAACCCTTTGGTTACGGGAGTATCATATATGATACCTGATTAGTATCTTTGATATATGTATAGATAACTACGTAGTTTATAGTCTTTCTAGTTTTGTATTGTCGTTGTCAGCTTTGACACAACTTGGTAATCGTATAATTGTGCGATGACGAAATGCTATGACTATTCTTTTCAATCATTCGCGCATGTTCCAGACCTATCTGATATTTTTTCTCTTTCCACGAGTCACTTTCTATATTCTTACGTCATCTTCTAGATGTTTCGATTTTCATACTATATATAGTGAGGCAAATTATTTACTCCGAATTTCATTTCGCTACATTAACTCTTCCAGCTTCTGCTTTGCATCCATACTTTCGTTAGAGAATCTCAGTGAACACGTGTGATTGAAAGTAAAATGGCTTCCCAAAACAGGATTTTGTCCTATCGAGCATCGAACATTGTAACCGATTCTGACTCTGATGGTGACGAAAGCGCTAATTCAGAAATTGTTAGTGATACCTCATCGAATAGTTTTGAAGATGATCGATCGAGCGACCTGAACAAATCTGAAACTTCATCAGAAGAAGAACAGCGTCTACTCCAGAAGAAACCAACATATGACTTCATCTGGTCTAATACTGCTTTCAAACCTCGACTGTTCAATTTCCATGCCAGTAACTCAGGTTATTCAGGGGAGCCGCTGGACAATCCATTAGGTTACTTCGAGCTCTTTTTTGGGGAGACGCTTTTGAATATTATCGTAAATGAAACAAATAGATATCAAAGACAATCCGAAAGTATGCCGTCTTCTGGTCATATGTCAGCACGGGAACCCACAGATGTAAACGAAATTTATGTGTTCTTGTCTACGACAATGCTGATGGCTCACACAAAACAGAATCGAATTTTGGATTACTGGCCCACCGATCCTCTGATATCGGCCCCAATCTTTTCACAGCTGTTTAGTCGAGATAGATATTTGTACCTCATGCGATATCTTCATTTCAACAATAATCAGCAACAGCAACAACCAAGCCATAGACTTTTCAAAATACGGCCTATCATTGACTACCTCAAGGATAAATACAAAACAACGCTCGTTCCATATCAAAACTTAGTGATTGACGAACATCTTACAGTGCGGGCCGTAAAAAGCATGTACTTTTTTGTTTTTACGCATAAATGAGTAAAAAGGATAGTCTGAAGATTTTCTTTCATATCAGAGTTTGTAGCGAATTTTTCGCTGATCATTTTGGTAAAAAAAGTTTTTAATTTTCATTGAATAATAACGATTTTATAGCCAAAATACTAAACACTGTAAAATATAGTAAACAAAAAAGTTTATCAAACTTTTAGTATTTGGCTAATTTCTACGTTATTTCA